AGAGCTTTGGATGGAACTATAGAGGCCACAATTATGGTTAAAAGAGTTGGTAGAGGTGCAAAAATAGATAGTAAAAGTGGAGACGGTAAAATAGTAACAGCAATAATAATAGAAAAACTAGAGCTTTCTACTACTTATCTCTTGGTAAGATGAGGGTTGGTAGTTATAGGTCTTTTCTCTCTTTACCTCTCTTAGCCTATCACCCTTTGAATTTTAACAACGCGATCCATCTTTATAAAACAAAGGCATAACAATTAGAATTAGTTCACAAGAATAAGAGTTATTAATAAAAACCAAAGTTGCCCTTAGAGGGGCCACTGTTACTAGGCATGTTCATCTCTCCACCTTCTCCCTATCTTTACCACACTTACTATCCCTAGTTTCTTATACCCTTTCAACTTTCGATGTAGGAGTTGGTGTAAAAATTGCTTCAATGGCTGGCTCTACAACCTTTGGTGTAAGAGTTGGTGCAAAAACTACCTAAGAGGCTAGCTTTGCAACCTAGTAGAAGGGTTCTCCAACCCTAGTCAAAAGGCTTGCTTGATTAACCTCTAGTCTTTCAAGTTTTTTGGCTTTCACAGCCACTTTTTCCATTGCATAAAAGAACAAAAATTATAAGTAAACAACATAAGTCACCAATTACAACAATTTTAATATAACATAAGTCAAATCAATAATACAATAGTTTAACAAATAACATATATTTTACCTTTAGGATAAGCTTCTACATCTTTACCCTTAGTTGCCTTCCACTTTGTAGTTTTTTTTTCTCATATATGACTCTTTGGATAATAAGAGCCAAGGTTTGATCTTCCTTAGTCACGACATAGTAATCAAAAATGTTTTTTGGCATGGCTAGCTCATTGTATGAGATCTTGACATCTATGATCGCATTCACTTGCTCGGATTCATCCTCAATCAACTCTAGGATCTCTTTAGCTAGTTGGCTAGCATAAGATCACTTGACTTTGAAAGGGAACCTCACACTCGACATTTTAGTACACACCATCATGTGTCGATTATATTTAAAATGACTGTTTGAGGGAAGATCCACCACCAAAGTCTTACCCCATGCCTGCAAATAATATAGCTAGCCATTACCCATCTTCAATACATACAAGGTGACGATCACATTCACCAAGAAATCTATTCACTTATCTTACAATGGATTAAATATGTCACCAAGATCACCTAGGCGATTAGCATAATCTGTAAAGTAGCAATGTTGAGCATAGCGAGCAACATGTGAAAAAATAGGTTCAACGATAGATGGAACCCTTGCCTGAAGTTATGAAAGAAGAATTCACTATTCTTTTATAATCCCCTACTTGGCCGACAGTGAACTTTAGTGGAGCAAGAAGATCTTATACATGAGATTGTTGTTGTTGAAACACACAAATCTAAGGTAAGCTGTATCATTTAGCACGTCATATTGTAAGGATGTCTATTTAGTGGCAACGTACAGAAGCCAAGTTTTTGAGCTTTTCAACCACTATCATTTTCCCTTTATCTTGTTTTTCTTTCCCTTTCCCAATAATGGGGATGTTTACATTAACAATGGGAGCCCCCACATCCCTAATGACAATGCCATGATTGTGGTCATCACCATTTTGATAACCTTAGCCTTCATGGCCCTTATTTTAACTACCTACAACCTTTTCTTGGGTTTTAGTGGTCGAAGCCCTAACTTTCTCCTCTTTGTTAGATCTCTCAATGATAATTCTCCCTTTTGGTGCTATTGACCTCTTTTTTTCTCTCATAACATCCAAACAAAAATACTAAAGTAAAATAAGAAAATAAAAAAACCTTACCTTAAAAATACTAGAAAAAAGCTTTGAAATTTTGTAAGAAAAAAGAAGAAAGCAAAAAATAATACTCTCAAAGACAATAAGCAAAAGTAAAGTCCAAAAATTTTTAAGTACCTTATTTATACCTAGCTAAACATTATATTTAAAATGGCACCAATTTAAAATTTTTTAAACATTAAATGACACTTTTGAAATGACACATGTTTGAACCATTTCAATTGATTTATGAATGGTATAAAAAGTAATTTTTCATTAAAAACCCTTTGGTTACCATTTTTCAAAAAATAAACACATACATTCCCTCTTAAAATCAATGCATTTAAAAAAAAAGTGCATCAATTAATTTCATATGACAACTTTCCATTCCCAATGCGACATGTAGCTTGTCCAGTCACATCCCTTAAAAACACGAATGGGTGCCATACATCACCTTACAAAATATGCTCGAATCATGTTTGCTCCATAAACAAGTACCAAAAAATCACAAAAATTTTCCTAAATCCTCACTATTTGTTCTTTATGACTATACCAACCCCCTAGCTTGCCAAAGGATAACCACTGCTCTTCAAAATGACTTATCATCAATCAAGTTCGTCGAGCACACATCTCGCCCTACAGGGATGCATTAGCATAATTACTCACCAAAGATGTTTTTTTCACCTTAAAAATACACATCATAATGATACGTTCGCCAAGCCACAATTGCCTTCTTGCCAAAACACTTTTTATTCTTTTTTTTTTTTTAAGCTTTAGATAGTGGTTTAAGGATTGTCATTTTATAACCCCCTTCGACTTAGGGGGCAATTGTTACATCCAAATTACCTCGTCATCGATAAACTTGGTCACAGTTTGGTCAACACAGCCATATCTTGAGGTCACTTAGATAAGGCATGTCCATATCACCACATCATCTGTTTTTAGAGAAATATCTTGTTTTTTGTTTAAGGAAGAACTTGTCTAACATCCTACTGACATCTAGTCAAGGCAATCATTTTAGAATTGATTAGCTGGCATCCAACTTGCCTAAGACTAATAAATGTAGCCCATGCCTACTTAGGATCATTAAATGCGACTAACAACTACCCACGTGAATCCCTTTCGAGCTCTATATACATATCCCGTTAACTAGCAACTGTAATAGTCAAATTTCCACTTATGGTCTTATATATAAGGTAATAGGACATTCAAGTACATAAGAGAAAGAGAACCTACACATTCAAGCTTTCTTTCCTCTAAAGCTTCCCACATACATTTCATTATCTTCTTTTTCCTTCCTTACCTCACCTCAGATACATCCATGACTTGAACGTCAAAGTGCACCCTAGAGCAACAACCTCGGTGCCCCCTACCTGTGCTTTTTGACTGTAGGTTTTAAATGTCTTTCCTTCAACCTCATCTCACCTTCTTTTAGCTAAGATACCCAAAAAACCTATTAACACTAATAAATTATTTACAATCAATTAAACCTTTATTTAAATTAAAACTTTAACATTGTTTAATTCTTCTTCCAATTATAATAAAATAATCACATAGAAAAATGATGTGGAATAAAGGCTTGTTTGGCCTAATCAAAGTTTTTATTAGACGTGATATTGAAGTGGAGCTATTTTAAAAGTGCTATAAAAAGAAGTTAAAAAAGTATTTGGCAAACTTAAAACAGAAATGTCATAAAATGTTGAAAAAACTCTTTAATGGTATTTTTGTATTGTTTAATAGATAAAAAGTAAAATAATCAACTTTTTTTAAATTAAATCACAAGTTTTTAAATAAAAATAAAGAAAATAAAAAGATATTTTGTTAATTATAATAAAAAATAATTCAAGAGAATAATAGACAAAATAAAAATATAATGTGAAATAATATAATCCTCTTATAATTCTATAGATGATTGAAGAATAAAGTAAGAATGTAAAAAATTTTATTAAAATTAGCACTTTTTGAAAAAGTTTTGATTTATAACTTCAACTAAAAATCCAAATCTACTTCCCACATAAACTAAAATTTTTAGACTTTTAAGAATCAAACATCTGAATTATGCTTTTGCAGTTAATAAGCTCTGCAATAAGTTGAGGCAAACACTCACTAAATATTGTTGTGCAATATTCATTAGGTATGTGTTAAAATTAAAAAAGAATAGTTATTTTTTTTTTTTGACACTCCTGAAAATTATTTTTATTTTTTTTCATTTTGATACATGCTCCAAATTTGGCATGTAACATTATTTATTACACGTTCGAGAATATTGTACCTATAATTGTTATAGTATTATAATTTAAAATTATATGAGATCCATTCAAATTTTATTTAAAACTTATAAATAATAGACCTTACATAATTTTTTATTTCATTTAAATAATTATAAAATTATAGTAAAAAATTTTTATATGATATACTAATTTATCTCGGCTAACAAAAGAAGTTAACTTCATTAAAACTTTCGTTAGAATAAGGATTTAATTAGTTGTAAATAATGGAGTGTTTTAGTATGTGTTGGGATGGATGTCAGAACTGTTTCCACATTTGAGTTACCTGATTGCAAGACAAGTCTTAAAAGCAGCGGCTTGCACCGTGTCAACTATCTATGGTTAAGATTAAAATCACACATCTAATTGCTTTCAAGTCCTCAAAAAAATATTTCTTTTTTCCTTTTAAGCTAATTCCGTGGTGGGTTGACAACCCTACCCTCACAGTTGAGCTTACTATTCTACCCCACAAAAGCACAAACCACAATGAGCCACCTTCCAACATCACACATTTCTTAATCGGACCAGGAGTTTATCAGATTTTGTTTTGTTTCAGAAAACTTTCGAAAAAGAAGAATCACTAATAATTTCTCATTTCTGTTTCCAACTAAAAATAATAACCATCTTATCAATAATCTAATCATATATGTTAATCAAACACAATATAATAAAATAAGACGAGAAAATTTTGAAAAAATATGAAAATGACATTTAAAATTTTAACAAAAATTATATATAAATTAATAAAATCATAAATATATGTTCAATATTTAACTATCAACATATATTATAAATCAATAATTTTTATATTTTACACTTATTTAATATAAAATACATACTATTCAAATATACAAATTCTCATATCTAGCTAATTATAATGATTTCGACAAGAAAAGGCTAGGTGGGCCCCAAGTCATCGCCCATGGGCCCCTGACTTTAATTAGATCGTTCATTTTGTCCAATAATTTTTTATATATTTCAAAATAAATTTTAAGTTATCTTATTATTTCCCTCCTGTTTAACTGGGGAACATAGCTCCGTCACTGTTGGCGTGGACATGACTAAAAACATGGAAGATGGCATTTGGTACCAACGTGATCATAATTAACTACTCTTGCATCAGAGAACTCGTTCTATTGTAAGGTCAATTTATACGTCATTTATTACATTGAACAACCAGTGCAAGTGTTTAGCAATGGCCATGCTCAAACATCATCGACTAGCCTGTTTCGGCTAGAGGTTAGAAAAATGTAGCAAAAATCCTCAAGGAAAATTCAAGAACAAGTTCAGTGTTGCGGTGGAGTGGAGTGACCACCAAGCTCATGTCCTGCTGCAGTTTCTGTGCCTGTAGAATGATGTGCTGCCACAGTTAAGCCTCCATTCTCAGCAGTTTCTAGAGCAACATCTGCATCATTAGGTGCTCCAGCATTGCCTGTTCGGACTGGACGGAGAAAACCTTGCAATCTCAATATATAGCTCTGACTGGGAGGCTGAGTTCTCACATATTGGGTTGTTGTTACTACACTTGCATATGATCGTTCAGAGTCAGCACTTCGGAGATTGGATAAGGCACTGAGGTCAAGATTTGGGAACACAGAACATCGGCATCGAGGACACTTCACATTCAATCTAAGCCACTCGTCAATGCATTCTACATGAAAATTGTGTGCACAAGGCAAGCCACGAACCTGCACCACTCCTTGTTAGAAAATCAGGTCATATGCCACAACCAAAACGTACAATTTAATATGTTTTCAGACTATGAATATACAAGCTTCTTCAGATGTGAAATCAAGGAAACCTTCTCATATGTATTAGGTTCTTGTTTTCTATAAGATCTGTGTGGATTGCATTGATTTTGAAAATGTATATGCCAGGCTAGGATTTGCAAACTGGGGACTATATGAGCATAAACTTCCAATGCTGTGACCATAGTAGATTTAACATCAATGTAAATTGCCTGTACAGAGCCAAAATGTACAGAGTATAAATCCAGCTCACTTCTAATTGATGGAGAATACTTCATTTAATATATACCATGAAAATAACTACAAGTACATATAAATGGAAGACCATAGATGAAGCGCAAGAGTTGACCAAAAGGTTTTACCTCATTCCCTAAATGGAACTCTTCCAAGCAGATTGGACATTCACTGCAATCAGTTGGAACAGCCTTCAACCTGAATTTTGGAAGTTCTTGAATGAGTGCCTCCACTGCTTCTCTCTGAACAAAGATGACAGAATGGATAGAAAATCTGGATTTACAGCTCATAAAACTAGATATACAGTGATAGTTGCATCAAGGCAATCGGGTTGGAAAGGATAGCATCCACTCCAACCACAGAAAATTTATATTAAGAAGTATAGGAACATTGGGAACATGATGACATTCTCCAAAAAGAGCAAGACACTAGGAAACTTATTCAAAATTTAGTGACTGGGAAACCTTTTGATTTGACATCCAAAATGGATGCACATGGTTATACATGATGTGAATGTGTGTGTTCTTTTAGGGGGAAGGGAAGGGAGTTGTCGGTTCCTACATTTAAGTAATCAGTGAATGCTGCCCATTTCCACTTTCCAAACGATTTTATTTACATAGATAGACTAAGCCCCAAAGTTCATTTGAGCTGCTTCTACATTGTAAGTTTGGATAGTCCAAATGCGGAAAATCTATTAGAGCGACTTCAGCCTCACCTTTTCTAGGTAATTATAATATAATGCGTACAATAAAATTTTAAAATAAGGGAAACCATCAATGTTATTCAGAATAACTAAGCACAAACCTGAGCTGTTGTCAAATAAAGTCCAGGATGGTATGATGCTGTGTCTTGGCCCATGCCTCTCATCTCTTGACCAGCAGCTTCAAATGCCCAATCTGGTACCCGAATCATGTCCATCAAAATCTGGATTAATTAAGTGTTTAGTTCAGGAGCCATCATACTGACGTTGTACCTAATATGGAAATAGATTTTCTCTGAAAACTACTAACACTTGCTCACACATGTTTTACATAGTCAAGGAATTATATCACAATTAGAAACTAGAAAAAATGGAGAGAAGAAGAGATAAATGAATAATTCAAACAAAAAACAAAACCTGCATTTCTTAAGCTTAAAGAGATATGCAATAATTGAACCACTTTAGGTACTTCTCTGAATTCAATGGCAGGTAAGACAAAGGGTGTGTTACGTCACTACAATAAGAAAGAAGCTACGATAGTCAATGTTACCTTTCTATGATAGTCTGCATTACCTTTCTAACAAAGAAGCTATGATAGTCAATCTTGCATAACTAGTCAATCTGTCTATGATAGTCAATGTTCCTGTGCATTCACATAATTAGAACTAGATTTCTACTCAAAGATAGATACAATATTGTAATGTCAAACAAAAAAATTAGGAATTCCAGTCAAGCATCCCACAAAAAATCTCCATGAAGATTGGATAGAAAATAGAATGAAAAATAAACCTTTCGCACAAAAATTGTGCAATGATTTACATCATAAACCCCCCATAAAGACCACTCTACACTCAAATCCATACAAAGTCAAACCCTTTTTTGTTTCTCTAAGCTCATTAACCTTTTCTTGATTCATTTCTCACATAATGAAAGTATATTTTATCCATATTTCCATATAAACAATACACCTTGCACATCTTATACTTCCATGAAACTTTCAAATAAGTAATATGTGATTAATAGCTGAATTACAAGAAAATAATCAACCAAGCAAAGTTTGCAGGATACACAACTCAAAATATATGTAGCGATAGATTCAAGAAGTTACCCCATATTCTGAAGTAGGAATCCCCTGCTGAGCACGTAAATGGTGTGCTTGTCTCCGTATCATCCACTGCAGAAAAGGAATTTCATGAACAATGATAAGAACAGAGCAATCAAAAAGCAACATAACCAACATTTTTTATGCTCTAGGTACACATCATGGTCAATGAGAAAGCCCTCATCATGAGTCTAACACACATCAAGGTCATTGATGAATTGAATGACACTCAAATAGTAGATAGGCATCACTAACCTTTCCCATAGACATACAAGCAACGCAGAGCAGTCCACAGTAACTAAAAAGCAGCCAAATTAGGAAACCATACTTCTGACCTTCTTCTGGCAACTGCATGTATTTACAACATTACCTCCAGTGATCAGATAGCTTGCACTAGACAATAATCCTGACAACTGCAAAATCATAAAACACTTACACAGTTCCTTGCACTGGTGAACCATAGAGTGCCGATTACAGTCCAAGCCAAAAGAAATGGATAAAGTAGCAGAGACAGAATTGAAAGAACCACTATTCTTCCACAAAAACGAGCATACCTCTGCTGCCATCCAAAATCCCTAGAAACCAATTTAAGCCAAACAAAAGAGAATTACCAGTCAAGTTAAAGTCAGCTACTAACAGAATACTATATTTATAGACAAAGCTCTCGAGTATGAAAAAACTCAAGCAACTATTATAGAGGAAAGAATTGCAGCTAATGCAACAGACAATCAAACAGTACAATGCCGAGAAATAGATTTTTAACCATACTTTTCCTGGCAAATTGGCATTCTAGCATCTAAGTTGAGAAGCATGAAAGCAAACCGAAGCAATTAAAAAGCAACAATTTCTACTTTAAGATGTTTAATTAATAAGACCATGATCAAACTCTTTCTTGAACTACTAAATAGTCAATAGTAAAAGATAAGTTCTTACAAACCCATTCCAGCGGCAAGTCCATTATCTACAAACATCAAAAGCCGAAAGATGAACACAGTAGTGTAATCAACCTGAAACAATAGCCATTAAGTTCCAAATTTAGAAGAAATGTTTCCTACATCAGCAAAAATCCAAAAGGAAACATCTTTTTAATCCATTCAAAATTCTTAAAACCAAAAAACTCACCACGATCCATATATGCAATGGGTATGTACAAAGATGATAGCGCTTCCAATTGATTGCAACAATGATTCTAATGGAAAACAATTGTTAAAAGATGAAACAAATATTTTCCACATAATCCTCTGCCCCCAGTTTGGATGTTTATAACCTCAAAAGAAAACAACGAAGATTCAGTTTCTTTCCCCCTTTCCTCCATTTTCCAGCAACCACAGTACCAAAACAAAGATTACCTTAGAAAATAAAATCTTTCAAATAAATGTACAAAACTAGCAAGAAAAACAAAAACCAAATTCAAAATCAAAATCATGAAAAATAAAAAGAAAAACGAAAACCCAAATTGAGAAAAAAAAAAGAAAAAGATAGAGGATACACACTTGTAGCCAGCATAGATAAGAAGAAGCCATCATACCTGCAACAACAAAAAGAAAATAATAAAACCCCAATTGTTTACTTAAGAAATAAATGAAATAAAAATTAAAGAAATGAAAAACAAACCACTTGAAATCGACTCCTCGGATGGCCATAAAGGAACAAGTTGAAGTATGAGAGAAGAAAGAAACGCTGCTTTAGAGGGAGTAACAACAGCAAAACTCCAAAGAAGAAATCTTCATTTGGAAGATTAAAAAGAAACAGAAATGGATGCAACCGAATGAGAATATATCCGTACGGAGATTATCTTGTAGCAAAACAACTCTCAGTCTCAGATTAAAGAGAAACTAATTACGGAAATAACGAAGAAGAAAAAAAATAGTATTTTCGTAAGGTGAACTGAAAGAAGCAGCTTCAAGAGGACATGCAATTTGCAAACGGAATGGAGACGCTAAATAAAATGTGTAATTTTTTCAAGGCTTAAATACAAAAATATCCTCGTATTATAACTTTTTTGTTAGTTTAATATTTTAAAAAAAATTAAAAATTTTGTACATAAATTTTTACTTTATTATATATTTTGATATTTAAATCTAACACCTTAATTAAATTATAAACGTAATATTAATGTCTAATAAAATCATAATACTATTAAAAAATTTAATTATCGTTTTATTATTATAGTTATATTAGAAAAAAAGTTTTTAAAAATTTAAAAGGTAAAAAAAAATTTTAAAATTAAAAAAAAGAAAGATTTTTAAAAGAAATCTAAAAAAAATTTTAAAAATTAATAAACACCAAAAAAAAAATTTTTAAAATCCTAAAATTTTTAAAAATTAAAATGCTAAAGAAATTCTCAAGAATTTCAAAAGAAATTTGAAAATTTTTAAAAAATCAAAAAAAATGAAAACAAAGAAAAATATTAAGAATTAAAAATAAAGCTACTACCTACTCGACGCAATAGACCCGTCCGGATTACTGCAAGATCCAGCCCACTTCTAGTCCGATCTATAAGCCTATCAGACTTGGGCCAATTGGAATCAATTTTATGCTCCAAGATTTCATTTGGGTAAATGTCCCCTCAATTTTTATTTACGGCATTACTTTTTTATTTTAGTTGCGCATTTATTTTGATGCTTTGTTAATATGATTTGAATAGGTGAATGTATATGTAAATATATGTTTTGAAAATGGATTTGTTTATGGATAATTGAGGTTGGCAAAGTAATAATAATAAATATGATAGCATTTTGAATAAAAATAATTTATAATAATTTTATGATTTAAAAATGATTTTCTTTAAAAGGGAAAATTTTAGAAATAAGAACATAAGATAATATCTCTATGAAAAAATGATTTTAGAAAGCCTATTTAGATATTGAAACGAATTCAAGTAATTATTTTTTTGTAAAGGGATATTATCTTAATTTTTTAAAATATTTAAAAAAATTATGTGAATTTTTCAAGTAAAGAATCGATTTTTTTTAATTTCACTTAAATATTGGGGAGTTTAAAATACTAAAAATGTTATTTTCACTAAATCAAATCTATTTAGAAAAGAAATATAATGAACAATTAAAGGTTTGAATAATGCAAAAATAATATGCATCATTTAATTTATGTTTATATTGTCACGTATGAATTTTATGCATTAACAAAAAATGTGAAATTGTAAGGTAACAAATTTTTTTTAAAAATTTCTTTTAAGAAAAAATAGAGTAATATTTCAAAAAAATTAATTTTAAAAACTTTACCTAGATATTAGAAAAAATTCAAATCATATTTTTACTAAGGAATATTAGTTTTAGTTTTATCAAAAATTATTATGAAATTTTATTAAGTAAATGATTAATTTTCTTAAACTTCGCTTAAATATTAAGGAATTAATTCCAAAAATAAATAAATAAATAAATAAAATTTCTTTTATCACTATTTTTTTTTGAAAAATAATAATGATTATCATAGCGTCTAGATCCGGGGATCTATTGCTAGACATTAACTTAACGAATCGTCACCCATCTTTTTTATCTAGGTGCGATTGGCCACCTAAGGAACTGTCCTTTCGGGGAACACCTAAGTTTAAGGGTCCCTAAAAGAATAGGTTCAGATCTACTAACCAGAACAGGGTTCGAGAGTTTGGTTACGTGTGAGAAAGGTTATAGCACCCTCATAACGCCCATCAAAAGATGGTATTAACTTAAATTTATGTTATCCAATGAGCCTTAAAATTTACCAAGTGATTATTGAAAATTATTCTCAATTGACTCTAATACCTTTAGCAGAAAATTCAAAAAATTCTCTCACCTCAGGAGTATGCAAGAAAACTACTGTTTCACTTGCAGAGGCTCCATCGTCGGATTATTTAACATTAAAAAAAATTCAAAGGAAAAAAAAAAAGGAACATGATTGCTTTTATACAAGAGAAAATTGATACTTTCAACTTTTCCCTAAAATACTTTTTTTTGAAAATTTAATTTCGAGGAAAATTGATACTTTCAACTTTTTCTCAAAATATTTTTTAAAAAACTTTAATTTTAAAGAAAATTGATACTTTCAACTTTTCCTAAAAAAAAAAAACCCTTTTTGAAAATTTATTTTTAAGAAAAATTGATACTTTCAATTTTTTCTCAAAAATATTTTTTGAAAACTTTAATTTCGAGAAAAATTGATATTTTTAACTTTTCCTAAAAAAAAAACTTATTTTGAAAATTTATTTTTAAAAAAAATTGATACTTTCAACTTTTCTCTAAAAAAATTTTTTTTTACGGTTCCTATAAAATGTTGACAGACGTACTAATATAATCTCCAAGCATCGCTTCCAAGAATATCCTCAGTTGTTGGTCATATTTGAGTTGGCTCAGCTTGAGATTTGCTGGGAGGATCAGAATTCACTTGTTGATTCTGCTGAAGCATCCTTTGAACGGTTGGTTGGTTTTGATTAACCTGCTTTTGGTGTGGTTGTGATTATAGCTACAAATTGTGGTGGTTTGAACAAATAGCTGCTGACAGCACAGTTTGATGCACAGCTGACAGTGTATGACCGGAAGGCACTGTGGAAACCTGACCTTGAGAACTATTATCAGAATGGGAAGCCATCTGCTGAAGTTGCTTTGAAGAATGCGATGCTGTCCCAGAAATAGCTTCTACCGAGGCTTCTATCAAGTGCACCATCTGCTCTTCTTTCTCATCAACTTGGTTACCGGGGCCATGCTAAGGCCATTCAGATGAGCAAGCTCAACAGAAAGGTTCTGATGCACTGGCCTGTTCGCTCTTCCCACTCCCTTCAAAAGTTTAGCTTGTTGTCGACTGTGTTTGTTGCCTTGTTGTTGATCTATTCCATCAATAATAAATCGTGGTTCTTCGGACTGTGCATCTGCTTTTCCAAAGTCCCATATCCATCAACAAATGGATGAAACATGATCAGTCTGAACTCTACTGTATAGGTAGAAACACCATCCCCGAAAAAGATAAAGCCACCTTTAATTGACCTGATATCATATACTGAAAATACGGAGTCCCAATTTTGCAATAACCTTATCCAAGAAAAGGGTTTCTAGCTCTATCTTAATAGCTTCATCAAGGGGAAGGTTAAGACGATGGGGTGGTAACTGCAAAGTGTGCTCGATTAAGCTTAGATAGAACAATTTTCTTCTGCTGTGCTAATAGTTTGGAAGAAGTGGATGAGTCTCTAATCTACGAATCGATAAAAGCCAGAAACTCAACCTAGCTTAAAAAAACTATGCCGCCAATCGTAGATCTAACGGTTATGTTCGAATCTAACTCCATCTTCTCATCGGTCTTAACTTCTGTCTCTCAACAAGGAAGGAAGGCATCTAGCTTAATCTGTAGGAAAGTCTGAACCAAAAGGCTGCTGCTTCCGATCCACAATCTTGAACTAGGGCGAATAAAGAAAGCTGCCTTCATAAAGCATAAAGAAAGATAGCTGGATTGAGTTCCACAGCAAGGCTCGATTCGTCACAGTCAATTACCGAAATGACTGTGATCTCTTTTTTTTTGTGGCCCCTCTCCTATTCGGATTCCTCTTCTATCTTTTCTCCTCCCCCTTAAACTATGAATCCCTCTGATTTATAAAACCATGCTGTTTTTTTTATAGAGTTTCAGTTCAATTCTACTTAGTCATCAAATGCTAAAGATTAGCATCTAATTATCCTTTCTGATCATCATTAAACTTAATTTCAGTCTATCTTTTTTTTTTTAAATAATCAGATAATGAAGATAGAAAAAAAAATAAACAATAAGTAGACCATAAGATAAAAATTAAAAACTGATAAATATGAAATAAAAATCTGAAATAAAAAAATTTACAATCGAACTTGGATCGGTTTTAATTGACAAAGGACCTCGAATAAAATGATGTGTCTACAGCTGCCCCTCTTTGCACATTTTCTATGAAACAAAAATTGTACAAAGACGTAGACACCCATTTAAGACTCAACTGGATTTTTTTTTTAAAATTTTGATCAAAGCTCCTCTAAGCAGAGGCTTAACGACTTTGAGAAACATAAACAAAGCTCCTCTAAACAGAGGTAATTTTTTTTTAAAATTTTGATCAAAAGCTCCTCTAAGTAGAGGCTCAACGGCTTTTGAAAAATAAATAAAGCTCCTTTAAACAGAGGTAATTTTTTTTTTGTTTTTTTAATTAAATTTGATCAAAGCTCCTCTAAGCAGAGGCTCAACAGCTTTTGAAAGATAAATGGCTCCTCTAATCAGAGGCTCAACGACTTTGGCAAGTAAATGGTTCCTCTAAATAGAGGCACCACAACTTTAGAAAATAAATTACTCCTTTAAACAAAGGCACTACAACTTTGAAAAATAAATTGCTCCTCCTCTAAACAGAGGCACCACGACTTTGAAAAGTAAATTGCTCCTCTAAATAGAGGCAACCACGACTTTGGAAAATAAATTGCTCATCTAAACAGAGGCACCACGACTTTGAAAAGTAAATTACTCCTCTAAACAGAGGCAACCACGACTTTGAAAATAAATTGCTCATCTAAACAGAGGCACCACGACTTTGAAAAATAAATTGCTCCTCTAAATAGAGGCAACCATGACTTTGGAAAGTAAATTGCTCCTCTAAATAGAAACAACCACGACTTTGAAAAATAAATTACTCCTCTAAACAGAGGCACCACGACTTTGAAAAGTAAATTACTCTTCTAAATAGAGGCAACCACGACTTTGAAAAATAAATTGCTCCTCTAAATAGAGGCACCACGACTTTGAAAAATAAATTGCTCCTCTAAATAGAGGAAACCACGACTTTGAAAAATAAATTGCTTCTTGATAATCATGTCCAAAGGAGTTATAGATCGTGATTGAAAAAATTTTATACTGGAAACTCAAAGATTCACAATTTGAGTTCAACATTCATAGGTTCAGATTCGTAAGAACCTTCCAACTTCGTAAGAATTTATTAAAATTTG